TAAACATATGTATGTGGGTATATATCTTTAACTTACCTAATCTAACCTTCAATATAATTAGTTTATTTAATCCGTCACACACTTTTATAATTGTAACTCTTTTAATTGATTGAGTTGAGGTTATTAATTTAAATACACAAATTGATTTTTTTTTATTGCTACACTTTCACTGTAATTCTAGCATATTCAATATGCAGCTAGGCAACTTTCAAAAGTAGGCAGGCCAAAGTAGTATCGCCTTGTAATTATTTGCACGTTTTATACTCGCCTATACTATTTTCGACAAAAAAAAAAAAATGTTTTATTGAATTTAACAATGCCGATTTTTTATTTAAATTATTTAGAGTTTTCGATCACGAAAATTTACACACATCCTTTTATCCCAAAAAAGCGGTTCATTTGTCGGAACTAACGATATCTCTTATAGCTGACCACAATGTCAAAGTGACSGATCCAAATCAAGGCCTTCTAGGGAAAGCTTTTGTATTTGACAGGATACATATCTTCACGAAATTTGGCATAGATCATTGCTCACAACAACACGGACCACTAGAGCATATAGACACCATACAAAAAAAACTATCAAAATTATGTTTTTAAATATATACCATTTATGAACTCTTTTAATTGACGAAATATATTCACGAAATTTTATTTTTTTAGTTTTATATAAAAAYGATGCCTAAATAAATAAATTAATATAATTTAACAAACTTTTCTTTCATCGAAACGTTTCAATTTAGAACCTTTACCATTAATATAATTTGCTTTTTAATATTTTAAATAATCCTTATTATACATATGTTCATTTGTTAGTCTGTCGCTTTTTGCTAAATATGTATGTATGTACATATTTCTATCTACCATATACGCCTGCTTTGTATATTTACATTTTTATCTTGTGTGCATTTTCTTCTTCTTACATACATTTTCACTTCTTCATGCCCGGATTCAATTACATATTTGTATGTAACTAAGTATAATTAAATGGGTACGATTTCTAASTACTTATGGACATAATTATTAAGATGCACCGAATTTAAGAAAACCAATTTTAAACTAATTTTAGTCAACAATATAATTGGCAACTGGCAATGAYTTCGATTCGTTTTACTTTATTTTGCCGTAACGCGTGTTACTTAAATTAGAAAAACTCACACAATTTAATATTTTTCACAATTATTTTACAATAATAATATATACAATTGTAWCTGATTTATTACTGCAGCCTCCAAATCTAGTGGAAGCGGTTTACAAAATCACAATTTTCTGAAACCAAGTACATACTCAGCTGCCTGCATTTTAGCTGGGGCTGCAGAAATGTTATTTTTTTCCTTTTGGCTCGCCCTTCTTTCTGCCGTATGTTTTAGTAGCTTATTCACTTGTCACCGCATAAAATTGCACTTTGAAAATATTTTATTTGTATAAATGATTGCTTGCATTTATTTAATATTACAATTTTTGTTTACTTTTAATGCACCTTATTGCAGAAAATGCTTTACAAAAGTATACTTTTCTTATAACACAAAATTTATTTTCACCTTCGTCTGCTGCATTCACCAAACAACTAACCATAGAAACGAGAAAATGTACGACGACTGCAAAGACAACCCGAGCAGCAGCAGCGACAYCGACAGTAGAACGTTGACGTTGACTGCGTTTGTCATGTAGCCGCGAGAACTTACGTTAGCAAAAAAAAACACACACACAAAATGACAACAACGACGACGTCAGCGTTAAAACAGACGGTGACAGCGAGGCATTGCACATATGCATGTAAACACCAACGGCAGACAATTGTTTTGTACGTGCGCGAACTCAACACCCATCAAAMTCAATGAAGAATATAGCAATTACGCTTCGTACGCGTAAATAGCATTAAATGTATATGGTAATAATTATATACTAAACGTTGTCAACAATTGGAAAMCACGATTCTGCAGTCGTTGTTTACGATGCGGCGTGATAAGCTGTAAATTTTCTCGCTTCAGTGCAGCGGCAGCAGTTGGTGCACAATTGGAAATATTTATGTATATTTATGAAAGTAAGAAATTCACCACAATAATATCTCATAGATACAAATGCAGTGTTGTTGTGGTATGTTTGTGAATACTTACAATGAATTAACCGGTTACTTTGCTGAAGTTATTGGTATGAGTACTTACCTTTTCTCCTTTTCAGATATTATTATAAGTAATAAATGAAACTATTAAAACGGTAAAAAATTAATGTAGTATATTGTATTGTATATATTATAAAAGAAAAAACAACTGATGAGTGCACCTGCAGTAATGACCARTGTTAATTATTTAGTATAAATAATATATAATTAAAACAAGTTTTGTTTATTTGGTATACATTCATATTTATATTTTATTATTATGTTAATATTCAATATTATCGAGTCTTTTTTAGCAAATATAGTATGTATACTATATGTATTGAGTATAATGAAAAATAAGAGAAAAAACGCAAAAGAAATATTAAAACAAACACAAATCCAGTTAACAAACTAAATGACGTATTACAAAACCAATACATAGGTATTGAAGAAAGCGTACATAAATAAATAAGTTTAACTGATTTATTAAAATCAAATGTTACTCCAAATGAACAAGTCCTTTAATTTAGGCATCCGAGTCCTCGCTATTACCGCCAGCATCATAATAGTCGACGTCATCATCATCATCCTCGTCGTCGTCATCATCAGCACCGCCATTATTACGCCTAATATTTCGTCCAAATATATGGTCTTCCTCATCATAGTAAACATCATCAGAGGAATCTTCACAGCCGGATACGCTAGAGTCATCGTCATCAAAAGTGTGAATGTAACCTTGCTGAATGCCTTTAAGAAAATAGAAAAAATTGTAAATACAATAAAATATTTATAATAAATTTTTTTTATTATTTACCCATACGCATGTGCCGCATACCCAATGCCATGGCATCTATGTCTTCATGATCAAAGGAATCCTTATAATCCTCATTATCATCGTCCTCATCGGGATAATCATTTGTATAGTAATTTTCATTATTCGAATCCTCCGAATCGTCATCTTCGTCATCATTAAAACGATCTTCATAGATTAGATCATCGTATGGGCGTATGCTGTAAAATTAGAGTTTTTGCAATAATAAATTGCTTTAAAATATATGATGGATTACGGTATGCAAGGAATCGATCATAATCAAGTTCTTGTATAATAGATTTAAATCAAGTTCTTGAATGGAAACTTTTCTATTTGAGATATCTTCACGAAAGTTGGTATGGAATATTGTACAGAGCAACTGTAAAGTTATCGAATAAATTTTTTAGATCGAACCAATATAGCTATCATACATACTGAACGATCAAAATGAAATTCTTGTAGAGAAACTTTTTTATTTATGAAGGGATTTATAGCTTCGGTGCAACCAGAATTAACGTTTTTTTATTTCTGTTGTCGAATTATTCAGAAAATACTCTTGAAATAAAGAATTTCGACTAGTTTGACATATCAAATGTTAGGTAGTGTGGCTGATCTCAAAGGAGAGAATCGCACTGGGAGTGATTGTGACCAGTACTTTGCGATTTTTTTATACTATATGCACAATTTTTCGCATTTTTCGGAAAAACGCGATAATACAAGCTGAAATTTATTAAAACAAGCTTTGCTGCACAATTTTTGTTGATGTTTTATAAGTAAATGAAAATAAAAACTTGGCACAACCAAAGAACTCACAACGCATTTTCTTGCCGAAGTCTTAAGCAGTGAATAAAACAAACTTTTTTGTTGTTTTTGGTTATCTCATTATATGTATTATATATGTCATAGATTTATATTTCATGATTTAAATACAAAAAAAACGCAATCAAACATTCATATTAATGCGACATCTAATTGCTTACTCTATTTATATATGCTAAATTGTGTAAATTTAATTTTTGCGTTGCGTAAAAACAAATGTAATATAATTTTACTTATATGTAATATAGTTTTTGTATTTTTATCTTTYCTATAATCTTTTAATTAGAAATTTTTAAATTATTTGTAAACTTTTTGAATATGCCTTGAATGTTTATGTTTGCTTTAATTAATTTTCTGCGTTTTTGGCTGTTTAAAACCAAGTATTTATTTTCAATTACTCAGTAAGCACACGTACACACAAATTACCACTATAATAAAATGTAAAAACATACTTATGTAAAAAAATAATTAAAATATTGTTTACACCTAAGATAAGGCATATTACAAAACAATACTTAGCATTACAAATTTAAAACTATACATTATTTTTCTACGTTTTGCAATATTTTTGGCCTACACAATGCAAGTGTGCGCTTATTTTTGCTTAAGTATCAGCATTGATGATTAATTCAAACACACAAAAAATATACAATAATTGCAGCAGACGCAGTTTTTTGCGAAAAGGACCGGACCGTTTATTATTTTGGTAAATATTACCAGCTAATGGTAAAATTAAAAAGCACTTGTTAAATGAAAACATAAATGAAATTAATGATTGATACATTTTTGTAACTTTGGCAGAAAACATTTGATATGGAATGATGCAAGCGAATATTTATATGGAAAAATATGATAATGATTAATTTTTGGAATTTGAACGAAATGAATTTGAAATTAGATAAAAAAAAAAAAATTTGGACAAACTTTCCAACAAAACGAGATAAATCACATGTTTTGATTTTACGTTTTAGCGGTAAGCCTGTATGTGTGCGTTTAAATTATTTCTATCATAAACTAAATTCTATATTTTTTACTTTTCTGTTTATAATAGTTCTTATATTGGCTTTTGTATGCATTTTTTTGTGTTAAGGTCCAAATATCATTGTTGTTGCACTCTGCCAACAGCCATTTTATTTTAATTGTTTTTTTATTTTTGCAATTATTTTGTTGTCGCAGTGCTGCCTGTGTGTGTATGTTTACCACCAATAATCCTTCGCTGTTCAAAATTATAGGGCATCTTTGGCCAAATTGTTAACTTCACACAATTTATTAACTTTCTCAATTACCAATAGCAGTAGTTGTAGCTAGTGTTGTTGTGGTAGTAATTAAACGGATAGTACAACCTTAATAAATACACAACAATTTGCATCAATTTTACTATACATTTATATGTGTAATTAGTACGCATGTATGCATATTTATGCATAATTATGTGTATGAACCGACAAATGCACGATTGATTTTCTTCGCGTTGCTCATTTCACGTTTAAAAAGTAAAAATATTTTTTTTTTTAACTATTTAGCAATATAAGGCGTACGCTTTACTGGCAATTTACTGTTTTATCAACTTTACCATTATCCACTTATCCAAGTACACGTACAAACACACACATATATGTACATACATATAAACATAAATATATATCTATATATAATGCCAACACTGCCTTCACTTATTTGTTCAATTATATATATTTTTTTGTGTTTTTGGCAAATAAACAAGCGCTCCGATTTATATGAAACGACTGGTGAGCAATATCTGCTCGATATGCAAAACCAACCTTAAATAGTTATCATCCATCATATCAGCATATTCCACTTGCAATTCATTCTCTGGCAAATACAAATCATATACGTAGCCTGTGTCAGAGTCAGTCGCTTGCTGTGCATTATGCGTGTCATGTGCGGCGAAATGTTGCGCATCCCCATCTATTGTCTGTCTTTGTTGTTGTTGTGCGACATTCTGTGACAAATGTGCTTGTCCATCTGCCGTAGCGGACGTTGGCACGTTGTCTGTTTGTGCACCAGCCTCTTGCTTTTCAATATCGACAATTGTCACTTCTTTTGCCGCTTCAGCTGCATTTGCGTCTTCTAGTGTGGTACGCATACAATTGACTACACGGAACCGGCTCTCGTGCAATGCTTGCCGCATTTCCTGTCTTGCACGTTCGGTATGATTACTGGGTGGTCGCATAGATTTCTGTAACACAAGTTCTTTGGCAGCTTCTTTTGTAAGTCGCGCCAACTGGGTAGTAGCGCCATCATCCTAGATTTTAAAAATGTTTAAATAAATCCTTCTAATAATAGTTTTTGTATTTTCTTTTTTTATTTAAATAAACAACATGTATGTATATAATTTATGTATCAAATAATGAGTATATATGTTTTACCTGATCCTGTATTGTGCCCGCAAATTTGAGTATTGTTGATACTTCGCCTTCTTTGTCATTTAAAACCCCATTAACACCAGTGCCTACCCCTGCAGCAGTACCTGCGGCTTCTYCCGCTGCTTCCTCTCCTGAGTTATCTTCTAAACGGCGTCGTTTCTTGCTATTTAATATGAATGCACTAAGCGGCTCCTCATCAATTCTACGTTTTATACGAACAACGGCTGGCATTTTTAACAAAAACACTTAACTTTCTCTTTTTAACTTATATTAATTTATAAAAAAAAATTATGTGTCTAGACGAATCCTGGTTTCAACCGTTTTAAAGTATATGCAGCGAAAAACGATACAAGCCAAGAAAATTCCAACAAAGAAATGTGCGACCTTTTGCGTAACCAGTGTGGCCCAACAGGTATTACCATTGCCTTTGAAAGTGGAATAGCTTTGTTTGATTTTCTTTTCGTTTTTCTTTTTTTATATTATAAAAAAACAACTAAACTTGAGTAAGAAACGAAAAGCTTTTATTTGAAATTGTATCGAAAGGTTTTTTATCGTTTCTATAAATATGTACGTAAATTTGTGAAGATTTTTTAATAATAAATTATTTATAAATTGTTTAGAATAACTAACGGCTTTCATTTTTTTCCAAGTTAAAAATATACTTTCAAGTAATCAAGTTCACGTTTTTATTGCTGTTACTTTTATCAGAATCCGAAGTCCGTCAGCGTAAAAAGTAGTACGACGCGAAAGAACACTTCGTTGATGTATCGACCGGGTTTATTTTTTTGAACCGCGGACAAACGGCAAAATGGGTGTGCAAAATATTTTTTAAAACATTCTTTTTTACAAAAAACGCATTAGAAAATCATATCTTAAATATATTTCAAGGGCAAAATATTACTGAAAAACACTACATGTTGGGGAATAGGGAGTTCCTGGCCTTACCTTGAGTAAACTGCATGCCTTTATTTATTGTTTAAACACATTGAAAAACACATATTTTAAGATATTTTACAAAAAATATTTAGTAATATATATTTGTATAAAAAATACTGTTGTAAAAAATCAGTAGGGAGATTATCTTGCTCTTGCAAGATTGCACGATGGCACAAAATGCAATAATCCTATGCCGAAATATGTAAAGCAATGAGCGCACTCATTGCGGAATCTAGTGATACATGAACACCTGATTCGGTCAATTTATTGTGAATGACTATTATGAATGACTGTTGTGAATTGGCACAAATTTTGCATTCATTCTTAACAAAAAAAAAAATGTAACAAATGTTTATAATTAAATAGTAACATTCCTTAACAATTTAACGGCGAAATATGTCTTTATGTGAAATGGCCGCTGGCATAGGGTTGCATTTATTTTTGTGGAAAAAACATGAGTTTTGGTCGGAGAAATCTTAGACCAATTGCAAATATTTTTCTGCCTGTTTTGTTATTGCTTCGTTGCACCAATTGGAAAATTCTAAAATTCGTGTAATACGTGCACCGTTCAAGAGTTTTGCGAGAGCAAGAGAATCGCCCTACTGATTTCTCAAACACACATCACTGACACATACAAAAGTGCTGTCCATCATTTACCGAGAGCACTGACAGCTGTGGATTGTCGGGTTTGACATTTCATAAAATTTGTTGTTGGGGCTTTTCGTTACGTGCCCCTGCTGTTCTAGCCAATTTTCATTAGGATTTTTCGTTTTTTTTCACGCGGATAGATTCAATTCTGTGGATAAGTTAATAACGATTAGCGTATTGGCACTATCAACACAAGACGAATTAAGCGAATAACTGTGCAATGATGGCTATGTCAGCTGTGAATGTTATGATCAAGCGATCCGCCACTGCCGGATTACAAATGTTGCGACCCCAAGCTATTGCTGCAGTTGGATCCACTTTGGGGAGGTGAGCATAGAATACACCTAATGTACTAAGTTTTCTATATGCTCATACTAATGGGGAAAAATTGCGCGATAACAACACCAGCGTTAAAAAACTTTCTAAAAAAAACAATAAAGAACTTACATAATCAATGAAAAATGTCGACAACAGAAAGACATATAATTTTATGTAGTAGAAAGTATTTGCGGTGTACACTTGTATTTACCTATCAATTTTTACCATACAAACTAAGATTTCATCTATATACTTTTTATGCAGTAAGTAATCTAATTAAAAATTATAATTTTCGTTGTATTCAATAGTGACAAGCAGCAAACCCGCGGCGCAGCAAAATGGTATCCAGATCCAGAATTCATGAAACAATTCAGTGGTCCTGTCATGTATCCAGATGAATCCACAGCCCTAATGAAGCTACCGCCTTGGAATAGTTAGTATCTTGAACACTTTGATATATGTTTATAATTAAATTTTTTGATCTGATTCCCTACTCTTATTTAGACAAAGTTATGCCTGTGGAAAAGTCCGTACGTAATTTGACAATTAATTTTGGACCACAGCATCCAGCCGCTCACGGTGTGTTACGTTTAGTTTTGGAACTGGATGGTGAGGTACGATTATCTATATATATATATATATATATGTATATGTATATGTATGTAATTTTTGCATATATCTCTTATTGACAATATACTTATTGCAGACCGTAATGCGTGCTGATCCCCATATTGGTTTGTTGCATCGTGGTACCGAAAAGTTGATTGAATACAAAACCTACACGCAGGCATTACCATATTTCGATCGTCTTGATTACGTATCGATGATGTGCAACGAGCAGTGCTATTCCTTAGCCATAGAGAAACTGTTAAACATTGAAGTACCATTACGCGCCAAATATATTCGCAGTAGGTTATAGCATAAATAGTTACGAAGAAAATTTTTATTCATATTATTGGCATTTAAACATAGCACTTTTCGCTGAAATTACACGTATACTCAATCATATTATGGCCGTGGGTACACACGCTTTGGATGTGGGCGCGCTAACACCATTCTTCTGGCTTTTCGAGGAACGTGAGAAAATGATGGAATTCTATGAGCGTGTTTCCGGCGCACGCATGCACGCCGCCTATATACGCCCCGGAGGCGTGTCGTTGGTATGTACTTTTTTGACATATTAGCTTATAATATAATGTTAATATCATTCTTAATAATTACCCATATAGGATATACCACTCGGTCTAATGGATGATATTTACGAGTTTGCATCCAAATTTTCCGAACGTTTAGATGAAGTAGAAGATGTGCTCACCACCAACCGTATTTGGGTGCAACGTACTGCTGATATCGGTATTGTTTCGGCCGAAGATGCTTTGAATTATGGCTTCAGTGGCGTTATGTTGCGCGGTTCGGGTATTAAATGGGATTTACGTAAACAGCAACCGTATGATGCATACGATCTAGTTGATTTCGATGTACCAATTGGCACCAAGGGTGATTGTTACGATCGTTACTTGTGTCGTGTTGAGGAAATGCGTCAATCGTTGAGAATTATCGATCAGTGTTTGAATCAAATGCCAGCTGGTGAAATTAAGACCGATGATGCTAAAATAACACCACCTTCACGTGCGGAAATGAAGAACTCAATGGAGGCACTCATTCATCACTTCAAACTCTTCACTCAAGGTTATCAAGTACCGCCTGGCGCTACATACACAGCAATTGAAGCACCAAAGGGTGAATTCGGCGTCTATTTGGTGTCGGATGGTTCAAGTCGTCCTTATCGTTGTAAAATTAAGGCGCCTGGTTTTGCACATTTGGCGGCCTTAGACAAAATCGGCAAACAACATATGTTGGCTGATATTGTGGCGATTATCGGTACACTTGATGTGGTGTTCGGCGAGATCGATCGATAAATTCAAATAATTGCTGGCAAAGTGAAAGTTTATCAAATATAAAGTGTAAAATGGAGTTTTTCTGCAAACTTCTGTGTTAAACAATGAAAAGTTTGTAATAAACAGAGTTTATTGAAACCAAACAATTAGCGAAACAGTTAAAATATTTATATATCGTCACCTGAATTGCAAAATAACGTAACAACGTTTTCGGAAATTTACAGTGGCATGAATGAAACACGAAATGAAATGGAACTTGAGTGAAAAAAAAAATGTTTAATATTGGTTTATATCTGAGCGCAGAACMTGAAATTGTTGAACATATGTAATATTATGTATGTATAAGACACTCAATTTCGAATTTTTTGATGATACATTTTGCATTTCAGGTGACGACCTTTGTTGTTGTTTTAGTGGGCAATGTTTATTTGTGTATTTCTATGCGCTTGTGTTGTAGTGAGTGGATGTTACAAGTTTTGTTATTAACAAAACATAAATTTTCAGGCAGTGTTAAAAAAAAAAATTATAGTTCCGAATTCAAAGTTTTAAAATGGTATGTTGAAAGATTGTAGAAACATGCAAGCGCCTAATAGATAATTATATCCACAACGCTGAGAAGCTTCCACCACAAATACGAACGTCATTTAATTAGTTTGTTCGCGCAAGTAGGCAGCAAATTCAGCGCTAAACATAGAAAACTCATCGGTGCTATGGACGCTGCACTCAATGTTACTCTGCTTATCAAAACTGTATTTAATAATTGTATCAGGGCTATCATAATTTTCTGTAGTCTCCACAACTAAATTCAGAAACTTATTCAAAAATGCTTTGGATATATGAATGCGTCTACATTGTTCCTATTGAAAGTGTATATTTTTTGTTTTAATTAAAAATAAGTTATTTCTTGTTTATATATCAATGTATGTATATACTTCTAAAGCTTACAAGAGCTGATATTTGTCATTTTTTAGAATTCGCTACAGAAATGGTAACATGGTATTCCATGTACAAAACTAGTGCTCCGATCTAAACCCACAATTTGTTTCTGAGGTTGTACCGTTGTTTTGGGCAATAATGTAAGCCAAATTTCGTGAAGAAATTGTAATCAATAAAAAAGTTTCCATATAAGGACTTGACTTTGATCGGTTGTTGTTGTAACGGGTTGATATTCCTCGTTAGGATGGTGAGGATTAGATAAGTTGACGTCCACGACATCTTACGGGAGGCCCAAGAAACGGGCTGTTTCAACGGTTCGTATCAGAGGTGTGTCAGATGTGTAGRGTTAGTAGGGCATACAAAGTGGTGGCTAGTGTCATACAGAGACTCATTGCACCCAGGACATATGTACATACATATTTTAGGTATATCGAAGTATATCCCCACTGTAAATGGCGGTCCGTGCTTGTCAGAACTTAGTTGCGTCCGAAGTCTGGTCGGCGTATTGTTTGATGCCGTCAACATGTTGAGGAATGACCGCTGGATGCTTCTAGGAGACGGTTTCGCTCCAAGCAGGTGAATGAGCAGCTTTGTCGAGAGAAAAATACTTGTGCCAAATTTCAGATCGATATCTCAAAGACTGAAAACTTGTTCACGTATATACATATGTATGTACGTACAACAAACGGATATAGCTAAATGAACTCTGCTCATGATGCTTATCATTAAATATGTATGTATGTATATATTTTGTAGGGTCTCTGACATTTCATGCTGAATTTTACAAACGTCGTGGCAAACTTACCCCGTTTAGGGTATAAAAATATTAAAAGTATGTACAAAACAATAAATGCAATAGCAAAATTATAAAAAAAGACGACAAATAACAGTACATTTATAGACCCAAACTGTATATCTACATATGCTATATTACATACCTTTTCCAAATCCTTTATATCCTGCAATAATCCCGGTTGATTTATAACGCCATGATAATTTTGGAATCCAATAAAAAAAATTTTTTATATTCGATAGATATGCCTTGCACCACCATTTAAATACTGTAGTGGTAAAATAATTTAAAATAAAAAT